GGCTGGCGGCTTGTGTCTGCCAGGGTGAGCGAGGCCAAGATGGTGTGGGGCTGCCCGGCCCTCCCGGTCCACCTGGTCCCCCTGGACAGGTCATCGCTGTCTCAAGTGAAGATGTAAGTGATGGGTCCTGGCTTCATCGCAGCTTGGGAGAGCTAAAACCAGGGCGGGGGGGTGTCTGCCCAGCACCCATCATGCAGGGGGACCAAGTGAGACTTCTCCAGGAGCTCTGACCTCTTCAGAGCAAAGCTCAGGGTGAAAAAACCTTGTTTTGTCTCTTTTTACAGAAGTCTTTGGCAGCTTTGCCCGGTCCAGAGGTAGGTGCCCCCTGCCACCCGCACCCCTCCAGCAGTGCCAGGAGGGCACCCAGTTTCTTGGAAAGAGGGGGTTTGCTCATACAGGCATCTCTGCTTTTCTCTGCAGGGCAGACCGGGTCACGCCGGCTTCCCGGTGAGTTCATGGCAGGCCTGAGGACTGCAGGGGTGGCACTGGTGCCTGCAGTGGGGCATGGGGCAGTGCCTGGGCACCAGAGGGGGAGTCAGAGTGAAAGCTCTGGACATGCTTTGGTGAAACGCCTGGTTGCTGGTCCTGCTGCAGTGATGCCAGGGTGGTCATCGGGATCTGCCTTTGGTGGGTTGGGGCTGACGCGGGCTCTGTGCTCCTCCCTGCAGGGCCCAGTGGGACCGAAAGGAGACCGGGGGTTGTCTGGTCCCCAGGGCTCCCCAGGGTTGAAGGTAACTGCTCTGGGCCAGCTCCACCCTGTGGGGTGGTCACGCTCCTGGTCCCCCATCCTGCCTGGCCACCAGGTCACAGTGGTGATGCCAGCCCCACCGTGGGAGGGAGCCTGCTCCCTCCATCTCCCCTTGCGCCTCCTCCTCTCTTGCAGGGGGAGAAGGGGGAGCCTGGCGTCATCATCAGCCCCGATGGGACTGTGGTCACTGCAAAGGTGAAAGGAGAAAAGGTGGGTGTGCCGCAGGAACAGGGGGCACGTCCCCGTGCGACAGGTGCCGGGTGGTCCTGGTGGTGATGCCCTTTCCCTGTCCACTGTCTGCAGGGGGATCCAGGGGTTCGGGGACCGATGGGACCTTTGGTAAGTCGCCATCGCTGTCCTCCTCTTATCCTACAGGGAGGGACGAGGCTGATCCAGGGCAGAGGGGGGTGGGGGGTGCCCCCACTCTGAGCACCGCCATCCTCATCTTCTCTCCCCTCCAGGGTCCCCAGGGACGAGCAGGGATGAAGGGAGAGATCGGCTTTCCAGGCAGACCCGTAAGACCCGCTCCTGGTTTGTTTGTCCCCTTGGCCATTGCCTCCTCCACCACATCACCCCCACCCCATCTGCACATCTTGCACCCACTGAACCCCAAACCCCATCGTGTCCCTGAGGTGCCGAGGTGTGGGGTGGTGCCAGCGGTGATGCCAGGCTGTCACCCCGGAGTTGGTTGGGGAACGGGGACAAGGCTCATCTGTGCTGCTCATCCACAGGGACGTCCCGGCATGAATGGGCTGAAGGGCGAGAAGGGTGACCCCGCGGATGTCAGTAGTGTGCTGGGCTTGCGGGTGAGCACTGCTGCAGTCCCCTCGGGCTGCTGGCCCAGCAGATGGGGACACACACCCCGAGGGTCTCCCTGGGGACCTGAGTCCCTTTGGCAAAGGGCCCATGCCTCCCTCTTTCAGAGACTGGTTGCCCCTCTGGGGCAGGGCACGGCCCCAGTGTCCCCCTCCACGGGGACTGTCCACTTTGCAGGACCCTGACACATCTTCTCTCCCCCCACAGGGTCCCCCAGGACCCCCGGGTCCCCCAGGCCCCCCTGGGCTGCCTGGCAGCATAGTATATGACAGCAGCAATGTGAGTAACAACACAGTCACTGTGATGGGGGAAGCTGAGGGCTGGTGACCACGTCCTCCCAGTGACCCCCTGCTTGGCTGGAGGGGATGGAGGACACTCTGGTGACATCCCAGCCCGGGCTGGCATGTGGGGCTGCCATCAGCATCACATCGAGGTGGGAGTCCCCAAGGATGCTGCTGTCTCTGCAGCTGCTTCCTTTGCATCCCCACAGGCCTTCAGCGACACCAGCCATCCCGCGCTGCCAGCCTTCCCTGGTAAGGGGGTGTCCCTCTCCCGGCCTCCTTGGGGCAGTTCGGGGACCCCCAACAAGGCCAGTGGGGGGAATGGGACCCCATCCATTAGACCTGGGGCTGGGATGCTGCAGCACTGAGATGGTATCTCTCTGCTGCTCCCCACAGGTTTCCACCAGTTTCCAGGACAAAAGGGAGAGAAAGGCGATGCCGGAGCCCCGGGACCCCCAGGTGGGCGACCTATCCCCACAAGCAGAGGCGGGCAGGGGGTGGCTCATGCTTACCCCAGCTCTCCTCTCCCCTCCTCTCCCTCTCCACAGGCCACTTCCCCTACGACCTGAGTCACTTTGGTGCCAACCTGCGGGTAAGCCCTTTGCCTGCCGCCGGCGGCTCACGAGAGAAAGGCGATGCCGGAGCCCCGGGACCCCCAGGTGGGCGACCTATCCCCACAAGCAGAGGCGGGCAGGGGGTGGCTCATGCTTACCCCAGCTCTCCTCTCCCCTCCTCTCCCTCTCCACAGGCCACTTCCCCTACGACCTGAGTCACTTTGGTGCCAACCTGCGGGTAAGCCCTTTGCCTGCCGCCGGCGGCTCACGGGGCGGCACCCGGCACAATTTGGCGTACTGGGATTCGCCCTGGCTGCTCACCCTAAGACCGTGCCATCCCACAGGGTGACAAGGGGGAGGCAGGTCCCAAGGGCGAGAAGGGCGAGCCGGGCAGCACCCCGCTCTACGGTCCCAGCGTCTCCGGGCTGCCAGGGCCTCCGGGGCCTCAGGGCTACCCCGGGCTGCCAGTGAGTACCCCACGGCGCGGGGGACGAGGAGGGCATGGGGAGGGCGGCATCCCCAGATGCTTTGCTCCAGGGATGCTCTCTCACACTGCCTAGGGTCCCAAGGGGGACAGTATTGTCGGGCCACCAGGGCCTCCCGGACCTCAGGGCCCCCCCGGTATTGGATACGAGGGGCAGCAGGGTCCCCCTGGCCCTCCTGGCCCCCCTGGTCCACCCTCCTTCCCAGGGCCCCACAGACAAGGTGAGTACCTGTGCCACTGCATCCCTCCCTGCACATGCCGCATTGCTCTCTACACCCCCTGCATTCCTCCCCGTGCCCTGTGCTGTAGCCCTCTCCATCTCACCCTTCTTCCTCTCAGCTATCAGCATCCCTGGCCCTCCCGGACCACCAGGACCCCCCGGGCCACCAGGCACCAGCACAACGTCCTTGGGGGTGAGCTGGGGCTTTGGGCGGGGGGG